GCATGTGTTCTGTCCCATAAAACTGGCATTAGGTAAGGGGTATTGTTGAGTTGTTTGCTTTGCGTCCATTCAAGATCCACTGCCACTTCCTGTAAATGCCCTTCAGAGTGGCCAAACCCAAATATAAGCAATTTTTCCAGATGCACGACAGGAGGCCTTATCCTGTTATTGTTTTGGAAGCAGATGTCTTAGATCCTGACTTTAAAGAAAGCCTAAGGCAGAAACTCAGGAAGCTCCTGTAATGAAGTAGGACATTCTCTCAGAAGTGGGGCCCACTTGAAAGACCCTGCATGCAATATTGTCTAACACATTTGCAAATTACCACTCTTGCAACTCCAAGCTTGAGTGAGATATGTGTCGAGCTGGTGTGATGTATGACTTAACTTCACTTGTTTACACTCAATCTTACACACCTCTGAAACATGTGGCTATAATCTCAGAAATAACTAACACCTTCTCCTCTATGGAGCTAATGGATCACCATAGGGCTCTAAGTGATATTAGCATGTAGAAGATATCATGCACCCACTGAGCCAAGAGTGACAGCATCCCTCTGCACCCTACTGTGTGCTGGTCTTTCTTTTTTTCTTCTTTTTTTTTTGTACATGCACCTCATGTCACGCGTTCACCCAGAGGAAAATGGTAGGCTGAGAACCTCATGTACTGAGTGATTACATAAGCAGCAGGAGCCAGAAGTATTAGAGTGTATTATCCTTTGTATTTTACTTCATCAGAGGCTTGGGCCTGAACCTTGTCTCTAATTAGATCTGTCAACTCAAAGCCCAATATCTGTGGGAATGGCACAGAGAACTGCTGAGCAACTGGGACCAACCCAGTGGAGAATGGGATAGAGTTGCTGCACAGGTTTCCATGGCTGGAGAAGTAAGGGAAAATATTTATTTCAGTAATACTGGATGTGATCACCAGCAAAGCAAGCAAAGTTATCAGTGTTTAAAACAAGCACTTTGCCAGTTGTTACTTTAATATCCACAGCCATTAGTTAATTTAACCCTTTATATAGTTTTTACAGAAGCTGTCCCAGTGCCATATCAGCTGTATGACTGGACAAACAGAAAACATCTGTCAACACACAATAACTTAACAAAAAAAAACTTGCGGTGTAGGTATTAGCTGCCAGTCGTGTTGCCAGTCATGTCTTTTGTATTTTACGATAAGATAAGACTTTATTTATCCCTGAGGGGAAATTCTCATGTTACAGCATCACAGAGATTGACTGAGCTTAAAAACAGATAAAGAACTATTTTAATGAAATAAATAAAATATAAAAAGAGAACTAAGAAATTAAGAAATTAGAAAGATTAAGAAGCATTAAAATACCATCATGAAGTGAATTATGCAAATATTTGTGCAAAAGGAGTCGAGTAGTGCAACTCCAGCTGCAATGATGTGTGAATTCTATATATAGCTAGAGTACATATGTATGCATAATCAGTACAGTAAACAGTACATAATAATACACACAATATGCACACACACACACACACACACACACACACACACACACACACACACACACACACACACACTATACTATACAGTAATAATACAATACTATGAAGTACATACATGTATAATAGAAATTAAAGATACTCTGATATAGAGTATAATATTACAATATAAAAGCACAGAAATAGCAACATAGTATCTATCTTTTTATAGTGACATATGTCCCCATATTGTCTTTTTCATGTTCACTGGAGTCATTCTGAATTATAACACTACATGTGTGCAGATTCAATTTACCATCTTCTCCTTCATCACTCTGAGCTGGGTCTGACATTATATGAATCCCTTTCAATACGTTTTGAAGATTTTCGCCGGCAGCGTCATTAATATCAGGAAATCCTGGAGCATCATTTTTTCCATCTGCAATCTGTCTTACTTTCACTCTATTTCCATGATAGTTTATGCTCACCACAAGGAACCATGGACATCTCTCAGCCTTGTCATCTTAATTTGCTCTCTTCATGGCAAGAAGAAGCTCTCCTTTATGCTCCTCTTATGTCTTATGCTGCTTCAGCATTCAAGTCTTCTTGGCTTCAACTGTCACAGCTTTCTATCCTTTAAATCCATCAGCAGAAATATCAAGCCAGACCTCACACTGTTTACCTGTTCACCTGAATTCACAATGCCTCACATGCAGTTACATCCATCTGCAACACTATAAAACTTTTTTCCGTTATTAAATCTATAAACCACACCCTAATCCAACTCTATACCTGTGTCTAGTTTCAGAAGCTGGATCTTTAGAAGGATACGGTCCTGACAGAGGTTATCCTCAAAACTGGGCGTTCAGGCATTCCTCATCAACTCCTGAAATCAGACGTTTAGACAGATTAGGATGACTTTTACAGTACAAATGATGCCGTTCAACTTAAACACATGATAGATAATTGATAAATTGTCCACCACATTGATCATAAATACCTATATATTTTTCTGTAAGGACCCTGATTTCGAACATACCCAGGCTGTCAACAATAGCTAATGTCTGATGTCCATTATCCACATCTTGGAGTGGCTTTTTTACAGTGCAGTTTGTTACAGTGTGTGTCTACCGGTGACTGACCACCTGAGCTTGAATACCTGGCAAATGTGATGTGGTCAGCTGATATTTCTGGACTTCATGAGTTGATGAACAACACCTGAATACTCCATTAAACAATTTAGCAGCACACTGTGGATTGTGGGATACCTGCGGTAGGGCTGAGAAGCAAACATAGGTTGTATGCTCCAAATTCAGACTTCAGGCTGTGCTTGGAGGAATCTTTCAAATGGGACAGACTTTGCCAACACGTTATGACACAGTCTAGAAAAGCAGACTTTGGAAGATGCAGCCCCTGAAATGGAACACACAGATTGTTTTTTATTTTCCCCAACCCTATAACCTAAGTCTAAAACACTTAGAGGGAAAATTGCTAAAAAGCTTTATTGTCACAGGAAGTTGAGTATCAACAGACTGATCTTCAATCTATGGAAAACACACACACACACACACACACACACACACACACACACACACACACACACACACACACACACGTATATATATTCCACATATACGACTTCACTCCACTAATTACTTTCTGCTGAGCTGTGGCAATGCTAGCCGAACCAAACTTTCCAATTCTCAGCGCTGACTTTGTTACATTGGGGCAATTGCACTTGTTATTTTGTTGTTGTTTTCAGACTTTATCCAGTTTCATTACTCACATGCTGGCTCATTTCAAGTGGCTCACCAAATTTATTTAGTGAGGTTATTAAATATTTTCATTCCAAACTCACAAGTCACATCATTAGATTTAATGTACCATCATTCTTCTTTTTCTTTGTCCTTTCAATTTCCAGTCCGTGCTAAATCATCTTCAGTCTTCAAGTTACTGCTTTGAAATTCCTGTGGATGTGCCATTTTCCAAAACCCATAACCACAAAAAGAGGGAACATCTCTCTGGCATTGATAGAACCAGAGGCTCGGAAATTTAAAGAGCTACACAGTGGCATACAAATCCCGCTTTTCAGTACTTCTATCTCTGTTAGCTTTGGTGTAAGTGTGTTTCATAAATCATGTAATCCAGCATTTTCTTACATTTAAAAAAAACGTGTTTTAAAAAGGGAGTCAGTGTTAACTTACTAGTGGTCAACTACAGTATTTGGCTTCACAACATTTGTGGTTTATATTATTTCTGTACTACAAGGTACTAAAACATAATTTAGGTGGAGATTAATACAAATGTGCCTGTTACAAGCTTGCTCATCCATCCAGTTTAATTAATTCAAGACATTTCTGCATTGTGCTTTTTCTTGATTTTCATGATAAAATTCTTGACTGATGTACTTCACTATCATCAATAAAGTAATAATTGTGTTTGTGTTTGAGGGGAACAGGTTATCATTGTCACTTGTTGTCTTTTATAATAAATTAAAACCATTAAAACAAAATCAACTAAAAACATAAATTATGTTATTCCTGTCATCTTGAAAGGTTTGCTTGGATCATCAGTACATCAACAGGGTCCCCCCAAAGCGTACAAAGCAGCCGAGTCATGAATCCAGTCTAACAGGCCTTTTGATACGAACAATAAAAAACACATGTTGACAGCACCTAGTGTGACTTTCTAGGAACATGTGTGCAGAGCTTTCTCAGACCTTAGTGCCTCTACTGAAAAATCCTGTGCCTCAAAACGTTTACGTGGGTTAGGGTCCTGCCATTGAGTAAAGATGTCACAAAACCGAGTCCATTCACTTTTAAATTGTGGTTTATAAGATAACTGTTTGATATTACGTCTTATCTGCTAAGAGGGTTTTAATTCCTTTTGGGTTTTAATTCCATGTGATTAAAGTGTCTTTCACAAGCATTTTAACAATAATTCTTGCGTCTAACCTTTGATTGATTTAAATAGAAAACTATTCCTGCAATACACAATTCAAATACAGTCCCTGTCGTCTCACCACAGAAACCTGAACCATGTTATTAGAACACTGAATGACAGGTCTTAAACTAGATAACTAGTTAATCTGATATTTTTCTGATGCTGTGGAATGCCGAGCAGGAAAAACAGACTTTTTTTGTTGTTATTTGTTTAATAAAAGAGCTGTTTACAATCCCTAAACTAAAGTTTAAGCCTAAGGACCAATTTTTGTCTGAAAACATCTTATAATGGCATGGATGCTTTCTCATGCTTCACTGCGCAGCCATCATCAACACAGTATGGACAGCTTTGTAGTTCCACATCAAGTCACACAGTATCTGACAACAAAAACCTTCTTGGTTAAAATAAAATGAAACCCTGAGTCAGAGATCTTCATTCCCCCGAACAGCTCCACAGCTGCAGAGCAGGACAGGGAGGGTACTGATGAATGACTCACATCTCCACCTTGTGGTAGTGATGGGTACGACTGTTTACTGGTTTTACTGAACCGGGGACAGATATAACAAGGGCTTATGTGCTGTAGTGCTGGTCATTCCGACTCTTGCCAGAGATGAGGATGGAGCTTTCCATTCCTGCTGCATTTTTTTCTAGTAATATTTTAATTTACAGATTTAAATTTTAATTTCTAAAGTTCATATATATTTATATATGTATATATTTTCTATATTTCCATAAGGCATTTCTTTGGATTTACTCAGAGTATGATTTTGGAGAATTACCTATTAGGAGTGAGGTTTACTGATCACGTATTTTAGACCCTACTTTTGCTGTCCACATTGTAATTTCTGTACCCTTAGATTACCTTTCTCTTGGCGTCCACAATTTGTCACATGTTTCATATTATTTAGATAAGTGGAAAGATTCTCTCCTCTCAAGCGGTTTGAGTTTTTTTTTTTTTTTTTTTTTCTCCAGAAAGTATGGGTGATTGAGGTTCAACCAATCCTTGTTGATCACTTCAGAAATATGTTTTGAGCCTCACGCTTCGTCTTGTCACCTGTGAGGACGCAAGGAAGACTTTGCCATTTAAGACCCCTTCAGGTGACTCCTTCAGCCATTGCATGACTGCACAACCCTGACGCATCTGCAGAGGACAAGACTGCGGCAATGGAAAGTATTTCAAATGAAAGTGACTTTTGGCAATTTAACGAATCCTGGCGAAACTCAAGTCTCGTTAACGGGACCGGTTTGTTGAATCAGACGAACCCTTTGAAGCGGAATGAAGAGGTGGCGAAGGTGGAGGTGACTGTGCTCGCCCTGGTGCTGTTTCTGGCGCTGGCGGGGAACCTGTGCGTCCTGCTGGCCATCCACACCACCAAGCACAGCCAGTCCCGCATGTATTACTTCATGAAGCACCTGAGCATCGCTGATCTAGTTGTGGCGATATTTCAAGTTCTTCCTCAACTTATCTGGGACATTACATTTCGGTTCTATGGACCGGACATTTTGTGCAGGTTGGTGAAATACCTACAGGTCGTTGGGATGTTCGCCTCCACTTACATGTTAGTTTTGATGTCTGTCGACAGGTGTTTGGCAATCTGTCAGCCTCTTCGTTCTTTACACAGGAGAAAAGACCGTTTCTATGTCATATTTTCCTGGGTCCTGAGCCTGCTCTTCAGTGTCCCGCAGATGTTCATTTTTTCCCTGAGAGAGGTTGGCTCGGCCGGATCAGGAGTGTATGACTGCTGGGGCGACTTCGTGAAGCCTTGGGGAGCCAAAGCTTACATCACATGGATCAGCCTCACTATATATATCATCCCGGTGGCAATTCTGAGCATCTGCTATGGGCTCATAAGCTTCAAAATATGGCAAAACTTTAAACTGAAAACCAGGCGGGAGCAGTGCATAAGCCTGACGCCCAAAACCTCCAAAGGCAACACGCTGGCCCGCGTGAGCAGCGTCAAGCTCATCTCCAAGGCAAAGATAACCACAGTGAAAATGACTTTTGTGATCGTCCTAGCTTATATCGTCTGCTGGACCCCCTTTTTCTCTGTTCAGATGTGGTCTGCGTGGGATCCAGCAGCGCCCCGTGAAGGTAGGTTTAATAAAGTTTAATAGTATACAGAGTGCGCGCCAGTTTTGCGTAATTGTTGATTTACTCAAAATGTCATTACGCCTCTGAAGCATTTTGAAACACTTAACAGACTACCCATCTTTTGCCTCCTTTCGCATATTCTCCGGACAATATTGACCAGAGGAAATGGATGGAGAGTCCTTCTTGCTGTGCGCATCAGTGCTCTTTACGCACGAGGATGCCGGCGCTTGCTTTCCCAAATGGAACAAAAAGAGGCAACAAAAACGCAATTTTGAGATGTGTTTATTCTGTTTTCCCCTTTAAAGTGGGTTGGGCACTGGAGTTTTATGGCTTACTCATGTTTAGTATCCAGTGAGGGTGCGGTGCGGAGTGAACACAGTGCAGGTTTGACACTAGGATGGAACAAAAACAAAAAATTTAGATTTTTATTTTACTATTTCATGTGTCTGCTGAAAGGACAAATGTCTGGACTTGCATACATATGTGACATTTGGGTGCTGCGATTTTAACAGAAAACTACCCCTGCAGTAAACTGTTCAAATACAGTCCACATTATTAGTGTGAAACACATTATTGGAACATGCTGTCATTTTCCCACTGAATGACAGGTGTTACAGTAGATAACTAGTCTATTCGGATCTTTCTGATGTTTGTTTACATTAGGAAAAAATAGTCCTATATTTTGTTTTCTTATATATTCTTAGAATATATACAATAATGAACCTGCCCCGTGGTAAGAAAAATAGTGATAAAGCCTTCAAAGTGAAAGAACTACATACAAAATTTTTCCAAGTTTCCTCTGACCCAGCTCACGCGGCAGAGACCGACTGACGGTTAATCATTAATCAAATTAGTGTGCGCCACCACGCGCCAAGCAGCTTGTATTTGTGCCTGTGGGGCACGTTGAAGTGCGTCGTTGACATTTAACCACAATAGGCCAATAAGCAGCCATCTACTGTATGTGGTCCCTATATTTATCGATCCGTTAGGCCATGGCCACACCCATATAACAACAGACTGAAAAAGATTAGAAAGATTTAATGAGCCAATTAAACTTCACAATGTAGCCTATTTGCCCAGAGGCTCCTTTCATTGTTTCGTTACAGTTATGTAGCGCTAAATAAAAAATTTAAGTAATAGCTTTTGTGAAAAGTAAAGATTTAACAGGGCTGTAATTTGTTTATTTGGTTTAGGGACATTTGTTGTACTGAAAAAAGTGAAAGGTAAAGGGAGATAGAAGGGTAGAAGACTGCAGAATAATATATCCCTATTCAATATGTGAATGAAAAGAAACAATTACCCCCAAAACAATGCAAAACTTGTTTTCCTATCAGTTTCCATCCATTATAACTATAAGACAGTGATATCAGTTTCTTGATGAGAGAACAGATGTTGGTGTTTCAGGCCTCGGTTCTTTTTTTGTTTTGTTTTGCTCTTGTGTGTTTGTGTAAAAGGTTCCAGCTGACTGGTTGTATATCGCTGTCATCCTCCTCAAGTTGCATTGTTTACGCCGGCTATCTTCACTTGGAGCTTAACTGTTGCTCAATACACCTAGCTGTCATCCAGCTCTCCAACACAGAGGAAGCATATTGCACCGATGAAATGGCAGTATTGTCTCTGACGCTACTGTACATTTCATGAAGATAAAGTTACAGTAGCCAGAACAGAGCAGCAAATGTGCTCCTGCCTTTGGAAATGGAAAAGAAAGAAATTCATTCATTTTCTGTTGCAGAGCCTTGATCAGTGCAGGGAGGAAGCTGATGTCTGATGGCTTTCCTCCACATGAACAGCACTCAGAAAGACCAGAACTGGCAGTGACACGTGCCAATGTTTGTGTACAAAAGATAGGCCGGAATATCACCTGTGTGTGTGTATAGATAAAGTGTCCATTAGAGCCATACTCACAGCTAAGTGAGGCTAGAAACAGAACAGAGAGCCCTCCATATAACCACCTTTATTATTTTAACATGGAATTTCTCCAGAACAGGCATGGAAATTGATTATTTTCACTGGTGGACATTTTTCTGCGGTGCAATAAACGATTAACACAGTTTCCTCTGAGCTTCACCTAATAAAGACATCTATTTGTTCCATTTTCACCATCAATCAAACTGACTCTTCAACATAAATGGAGATTTACTACTTATAGGTTGCTGTCTGTCTTTAAAAGGCCACTCTTAACAGAAACAAGATTTACAAGCAGCAGTTTCTTTGTCTGAATCTATATGCAGACTCCCACACTTTCTACACCCTGGCCCGTTGATAAAGTAATCATCTCTTCTGCTGATGATTCAGAAATCCCTTGAGAGAATAAACAACCAGATGCACAATTTGTCCAAGTTCATAGTTTGACATTTTGGGAAAATATGCTTATTCGCTCGCTTGTCAAGAGTTAGATAAGAAGCTAGTTGCCTGACTAAGAAACAGTCCAGCACAAAGCCCCCACATAAAATGGCAAATTATCACTGTTACACAAACAGTTTTGTACAGATTAAAGAAATGAAATATGCCAAGTTAAACTAACCGATGGCTGGCTGAAGCGTCATATTTGTTCTAAAGATGTGCTTTCAATCTCATCAACTAATTCTCATCATGAAAGCGAATAAGCATATTTCCCAAAATGATGAACAATTAATTTAGTTAAATTTGGACCAGTGGTGTAGCACACACACACACACACACACACACACACACACACACACACACACACACACACACACACACACACTCTTTTGTTGTATGTCCCTTAGAAATGTTCAAGCCAACCAGTGTAATTTTTTAGATGCATGAAAAAAGAGCCAAATTGCATTATCCCTAAAAATTCCACCAAAACGACTGAGATATTTAGATTTAATACAATTTCCAAGTTGGAATTACTGTGAAGGAGCCAGGACCTTTCGCAGATAGGAAGTTTACCAGTTTTAGCACCCCATTACGCTTATCAATACAATTTTTGGAAATGTCAGGAGACGGTAAATTGTCCGATTCCTCTAAGCTTTGTGAGAGTGACATCACTGTGATTTCACAGTTAACAGACAGATTTCATTATGTAGAGGACAAAAACACCTTAAGGTTAAACCCTGACTCAGACACTCACACAAGCTCCCAAAAAATCTGTAAGCACAAACATCTTCCCCTGCTGAGTCTGGTGCCCTCGGACGCTGACTCACACTCTGTGTGCTATTGATTTGCATTAAGTGCTTGATGGACACAAAGCCCAGTGTTCCCTCTCCAAGTGTTAATTTTTTTTTTTTCTATAAAGGTCAGTTCCTATATAGTCACTTTAAAAGCAGTGGGGAAAACAAATTGATGTCATAAAAGAACACTTTAGCAATTTAACTTAAATATCACTTAATGTAAAAAGTTAAAAGTAGATTACTGCTAATGCTTGTTTCCTTCAGGGAACCAGAATCAGTATTAAGAGTTCTCATTAATGGATCACAGAAGAGTCTTTTGGGCTGCCCAGTGTAAGCTCTGACAATGAGACAGATGTACCACCCAGGGGATGATTGCTCTGCCTTTTCATTCACTGTGTGATTTATCATTCTCTTGTGAGAGACACTGTGAGCTAATTCACTAAAGACTCTTTTATGATAGTTCGCCCCATTATTCAAATTAGATCCAGGCTCTGTTCTCATCCACCCTGATAAGAATGCTTGATAACCACCAGTTGGTATTTCTGCATTGTCTCCAGTGTATTCCTTCATCTACGGCAGCAGCATTATAGTCTATATTAGAAGAAGCTGACACAGGGATTGTAAAGTTTGTTGTACAGTTGTGTCGTATCAGCTGGTAAATTAACACTTTCTTGCATTTTTGTATTGTAGTTTCAGTATTTATTACAAATTTTTCTCATTTTCGTTTGTACATCAGAAAGATTACATTGCAGCACTTAATTAAAAGAAGATTATAAAACCTTGGACAAAGAAGGGTAATTAAATGATCTACACTCAGTTAAACTCATGTTTTAGTCTCATAAATCAAACCCTTAGTGGCTGATGATCAATTGTTATTAATCTTGTGTGTGACTTTCGTGCCCTTCCAGAGATCATTTGCGCTGAACAATTTTCGTTTGAGCTCAGGGACTGTCATTAGAGACAACATGAGAATAGCGGGAGCACAGGCAGGCTGAGAGAAAGATTAGCAATCAGTAAAAAGAGGTTAAATATGGGATACGAGCCAATTACATGAATCAGAAACTCATTTGCCAAATGTCAGTTGGATGGTGGAGCCGACGTAGCATAAATGTCATCCAACGTGCCACTGCAGGTTACTTTTCGTGATGTATCTCACCACAACGTTGTGTGAGGAACATTTCTGCCTCGCTGTCCATTGTGTTTTTCCAGGAATTTACTTGGTGTTTGAACGGGTCATCATTTTAATTCTTTTGTGTTATTTCTCATTTTTAAGCTGCAAGTATTATGAAACTCTCTCCTTCCTCAGGGATCTCTGATTTAAAGTACTGAGAATCCCTCCGGCTATATATTCAATCATACAGTTGTAACTGTACGGTTAAAACTTCTAATTGAACTTGAGCATTGGCAGTAAATAGCAAATTTGTGAAAGGAAACAAAACTATATGAGTGTACAGCAATGCTAGCTGCTCTGTGAGGTTGTACTAACTGCTCGCACGCTGAGCTAACGTTATCACTCTAACATGCTTGCAATGCATTTGTTTTGGTCATAAACTAAAGTATTGGACAATTCAAAATGTTGACCCAATATTCTGCTTGATTAAAAGTAGAGAATTACCAAAGTGGTAACAATTCATCTAAAGGGTGGATTTAAGGTAATCTATTCATTATTTATCGAGAAAATTCACTCAAAACCACAAAACGGTGGAAGATGACTGCCAAATTTTTTAAGATTCATCCACTGGGGATATATGTGCCATAATTCATGTCAATTCAGACTATTAGATAATTTGAGATATCGCAGTCTGACCAAAGTGATGGACCGACTGATCATCCAACATCACCAAGTGTACAACCAAATAAACTTTCAGCCTGCCACTATCACCTTGACTTTCACAGCGGAAAAAAAAAACTGCTGGTTCATTTTTTGTTGTCACAGCACACTAACTCTCTGTCTCATCTCCTGTAGCCATGCCCTTCATCATCTCCATGCTGCTGGCCAGCCTCAACAGCTGCTGTAACCCCTGGATCTACATGTGCTTCGCCGGGCATCTGTTCCAGGATCTTAGGCAGAACTTTCTCTGCTGTTCTACTCGCTACCTCAAGTCATCCCAGTGCCGCTGTGAGCGTGACTTTGACTCTAGTCACAAGAGCAACTCCTCAACCTTTGCCATTAAGAGCACTAGCAGTCAGAGGAGCATCACACAGACTTCCACCACATAAGCACCCGCCCTCCCTTCCCTTTCTCAAGCTGCCCACCATGCCTTTCATCACACGCTGTCGGCCATAAAATATCAGTTCAGCTCCTTCTGGTACCTCTCACCCTGAGGCTTGCTGTTCAAGATTGTAAGGGACAAACAACAAAAGTCTTAATCTTTTATTTACAGTACTTCAGCGTGTAACATGTAAATGGAATTGTGAAACAGAAAAAATTTAAAGAATATTATTTTGTTCATAAAAGCTTACGAGATAATCATGGACCAAGCTGAGCAATCACCTGAATCCTTTTGTTTTTGATGTACAGAATATATATTTACATATTTGCAGTGCAGAGAAAGTATAGGAAGAAGAAGAGAATATTTGAATCAGTGATTTTTGTAAGCAACCATATTATAGATTCAGTTGTTGTCACCAGCAAAGCTTATGGATCTTGTTTGTCTGTGTTATGATGAAATTGCTCACCTGTTATATATATTGTGTTCGATGTTGTTCACTTTGTTACATTTGCAGTGGGTTGCATACATGTAAACTGTTACTTGAGATATTGTTAGATGTGAGATGTCATGGCTGTCACTGGTAAAGGTTTTTAAAAAGTTTAAAAAAGAAATAAAGAAAGAAAGCAGCGAATATGCACTGACTTTATTATTTACACCTAGCTAATACTCATTAGAGCTCCCTTTGTGTCCTGAAATGGCTGAAAAAAATCCTCGGCTTGGTATTCTGGAGGGATGTTTGTCCGTGCTGAATCAATAACGACCTTGAATTCCTTCAAATTTTTGGCAGCACATCGAAACTTTTAACATCCTGTTCACCTCAGTCCCAAAATGCATTATTTTGTTGAGATGTGGGGACTGTGCTGACCACTGGGGTGAACTAAAGTGACTCATGTTTGTGGAGGTGTCTTGAGGCAACAATTGCTGAGTGACATGGTGCATTATTCTGCAGGAAGAGACAACAAAGGTACACTTGCATTCATTGTTGCAAAGCTAAGTCTAAGGCTGTTGTTTAGTCAGTTGTATTTATATTCAATGTAAATGTGTCAAGTATTTGAGCACTCTAGAATGTGTTATTTTAATTACAGCACATCAATTATCATTGCCTATAATGAGGAGTGGCCTGAATAAAAAAAAAAAGCTGCCAACCCAATATCTCTACAATGAATACTAACCATGTGAAGTCTATAATGTTCAGTTTAAGTTGAGACACTGTAAGACAGGTATTGATTCAGCTTTCAACTCTATTATTCAGCTCATTTTGACATCTCTCTCCCACCTTGAACTGTACTGACAATATAACGTAACAAAGCACAACATCACAAACTACAGATCATTACAGATCACTCTCAATACAAGCTTTATACATATTAGTTATTGCAGGAATATTCAACTGCATGATACAACTGCTTTGATTTTATTATTGTGTGGATAACAGGATTCATTAATGAAGTGCCAAATTACACTTTTTCAGTAATATAACTGCACTGCCACTGTATACTACATTGTTTTATTTTTCTGTTATATTTAGGAGGAGTATACTTCCCCTGTAGCCTTAATAATGTGAACAATGCAATTAAGACTTAACAGACCGCATCAAACCCCTTTGAAATGAATTATATGATGAAAGATTCTAAGTAATTGTTCCATCCTCAAAGATGCCCATAAGTTTGGAGGGCAGTTTATGTGTACAGTATGTCTGTAATTATACAAGTTCAATAAATCATTTGCAGAAGGCAAATATATAAATAAATGCATAAATAAATTCATGAGATCTGTATTTGTGGAGAATTTGTTGTATTTTGGTTACACCAAACATATTTATGTATTCTACATACTTAATGTCTCTCTACAGTTTTGTCTAATAAATTACTCTTGCTCATTAATTACACTGGGTTATACAGTCCATTAATCAGAATAATTCTTTATCACAGTGTGTTGTTTATGCTCATATAAAATGTATGCGTTGTCTAGCACAATACAGGACTGCAAAGAATCGACAAGAAGAAACACACTGAGGTTATGAACAAAGAAACATCAATATTGAATCTCAGACACAGAAGAGAAGCATATTAACAGAAACCTGTAGTGACTGAAGTTATCAAAAATATCACTAATACATGGTTAGGATGTTTGGTGAATCTTAAAAATGTATTTCTTTAAGCCTCTCAGAATGATTTGAAACAATACACATATACTTCTATTATAAGGATACGATCATTAATTGTAAAGTTTCAGCCCGTTTGCACAATAGCAGCAAAGCAAATTATACTTTTATACATATATCTTCTTTTCTAATCAAAATAATGCTATGGAACATTACAGGTTTTTACTTTACTGCATCGGTAGTTATGTCCATACTTGTTTACACATACTTGACTGAATTACGCAAATAAGCAAGTTTAATATTCCACTCATCATGGTTTGATAAAAGGAAGTAGATTTTCTGCATGGTTGGTTCCAAACATATTTCATACATCTGCAAGTCTCCAAACAGTTTGTTAGTCACTGTAGAGTCATCACAAATTAAGACGGGAAAGATATCAGAATACCTTTTTACAAACTATGAAGAAATCGGACAAAATAATTATGTAGAGAAAACATTTTCAATTCCTATCTTTTGGTTAGAGTTTTTCTAATAATGTTACATATATATTTCTCAAATTCAATTCAGTCAGTGTAAAGTTATACAATGGCAGGCACAGCAACATACAGCATCACTATAACTTTTAAGAATGGCCAAATGTAATGCATACATGCAGCACTGTCCGCAGGTGCAGCAGTGGCGGGGAGTTTGTTTCATTTGTTGTGAATGAGTAGCTTCTGTCTTTGCTTAATAAATGAAGGCAGACAGATCCTTCTCATGGCAAGCGGCCCTCTTCTCCCCCCAGTGAGGAGCACTGAGCCCTCCAGGAGTGCCAGAGCTGTCACAGAACCACACTGCCTGCTGCAGCTGTCACAGAGCTTCTGGTGGCAAAAGGCACAGTGGGTATGTCAGGACTCAGAGCAGGGAACTTGAGGGTGGGGAGCAGCATGTGAGGGAGGGAGGGAGGGAGGAGGAGTATCAGGGAGTAAGCGAGAGGCCAGGACTGATCTTCTGGTGTATAAAAAGGTACCGCACTTCTTCCGATCATACTATAAACACTATTGTGTGAGTACTTAGACTTCTTTGCGCAGTGCAACGCGCACACTGCTGAAGATCTTGCCCAGGGCTTCAAAGAAGGGATCGCAGAAGGTCTGAATGCAGAGAGAGTAGATGCGGCTGATGCACTGCGACTCAATCAGACAGCTCTTGATGCAGGGAACCACAGCCCAGATGTGGCAGAAGGAGATACATGCAAACAGGAAGCCCCAAAGGAGAGCTACAGGGATCCCGAAGACAGCAGACAAGATGCGGTAGCACCAGTACTTGGACACCGTGAAGGTGGTGTAGCTGAGCTTCCACACACCATCCAGGCTGTGTGTACCATCAGGCTCTGCAATGACATCCTCAAACTCCACCTAATAAGAAATATAAAAGAGGCTTTCATTAATACACATCCCTGAGCCTGCTTTGCTTTTATCCATCTCCCTTACCAGACCTCTGTGGGTTTAAGGTAATATGCACATGTTGAGTGTGAAGATTATAATTATGAAAGCTGTAGAGTGTTTGGGTCAAAATTATGCAGAGAAACCAATTTTTTTCTACTTCATAGAAGAAAAAAACAAACAAAAACCTTCAATGTAGTGGCAGACAGGAAAAGTTGTGGAGTGGCTTTTAATGCTCAAACCAAATCCGTCTAAAAGCTCTATTCCAACACATTTTTTTGTAACTGAAGTTCCCCTCATGTAAAATGCATGAGAGCAACTGTACGATGGTCCAATTTGTTTTCAGTATGTACCACCTGGTATTTTGGCCGTGTCTTATTCTGAGATACAACTCAGCTATAAAATGTTAATTAACTTGTCTGTAATCGTGGCAGGCAAACGCACCACACACATCTAAAACCTTTTCTTCCAGACCACTACAAAGGATCAGTATGGGAAGTAACAAGTCCGCTGTCCACTTCCCACAGAGATAGCAGCCTGAGATCATCCACTGAATGAATGGCTGGACATGCTCTGTTTTATATTTTCTCTGCAAGGCCTATTTTAGGGATTGCTAGAGTCAAATTCAGGATTCAGGAAAGGAACAACGGGTGTCCTTTAGAAACAATAGATGACAGTGTGTTCCAAAGTTGATAAATCTGATTACACAGAAGATAAGATTCCCTGACTAATAAGAGACACTCTTTCAATAGATTTTACTGATCCACTTTAAATTAAGGACCGGAAATGTTATGGATTAGAAATATAAGTGCTAATTCATCACTTACTGTAGCTCCTTGACCAGACTATTGCAAGTAAGGTTAACAAACCGTTCAGTTTAAAGATGCATCATCTTTATCAACTTCTTGTTGTCTGAACAGACATGAGCAGACATGTAAATCATTGCAAACTGAGCCATGCAGGCACTAAACATATGCTCTACTCATAACTCGTGATTTATTATATTCATTGACCATGTTTACACAAACACCTTCCAGTAAAACAAAATATAATCTCAAAGTATATCTGGCCCGGTCCTTACAAAAAATATTTTGTGGTAATAACATGGCAACAATCACAGGATAAACAGCAGTCAACTCCAGTGTATCAGTTTCACACTCAATTCCCAAAATAAACTTCATGTTCTGCTCAGGCAACAGGAATAGCTCTTGGTCTATTTAGGGATTTTACAGACAGTATAATAACCTGTTCTCTTGTCTTTGTTACTGTAAGCCACTTTATTCTTTTTTTTTTTCTTTACATGCTTCCACACATGCCAAGACAGGGGTAACATTCCCAATCCTTTCTGTGACAGGGTACTGTTTCCAAGCTGCACAAACCTTCACCACGTCCTCATTGATCTGCTTGGGGTCTCTGTTAATTAGATCGATCTCCTTGGTGTGGCTGTCCTTTACAATCTTCTCCTCGTTGGTGTTGTACTGGTACTGATCCGCCATGGTGGGGCTGCAGGTCCTCGACAGGCCGGAGACGGTTAGAGTAAACCTTCCTTGATCAAACGCCTCAGTTCTCTTCTGAACCCCTGTATCACCACTGTGACACTCCCTCTGGCATGTCAGTGGACAGCTGCTGCAGACGTCCTGGTAAAAATGGAGGCCTGACCCCCACCCATAGGCACCCACACACACACACACACACACACACACACACACACACACACACACACACACACACACACACACACACCCTACACACACAGAAAGTGTTCACACACACAATGTAATGCACATAGACAGAAAAGGCATGCCTTAAAGGAGAACCCAGGGTTGTGTCACATTTCACATTGGGTTGTGGGGCTAACTGGGCAGGGTTTGCACAGTGGCACGAACTTCCACCACAGAGTGAGGCAGCAGGCACAAACACACCCTCCTGCTCTGCTCTGTGTCCTAATACTGAACTTAATTTGAAAAGAAATTGAGTTGTATGTTAATTTTCAAAATAGACTCAGTGTCACCATGAGTACAAAGATTACACTGTATTACTATAAGTTATTATTCAGAAGGAAGAATATGATACACATTAAAATACGGTGTTGAGGTGACTATTGTCATACTGTGGTTCTGCACTATATGATATATTATCAGTGTTTTGGTTCTGTGGTATTTTGGTGTTTGACTTGGAGGACTTGTATATGTGTAAATGAGCAGAATGGACATAAAATAAAATGTATTTCGGTCATTGGGACTCAATGAGAGAAGGTGAGAAATTAAAATACATTATTTGCTATCATATTCTAATCAACATGTTTGCCCTCACATGATCACAATCATAACAATAAAGTGTTTTGGGCATTTAAATTATTTCACAGTCTCAGTGGGGCAGAATAGACTTCACGCAAGGTAGGTCCTGAGTGTCTTATTCCAGATATGTCTGATTGCAGCAAGGCCCAATACATAAAATTCAATAGTCCCCCGAAATAAAACTCTGATTCAGTCTTCCTTAAGCTGTGCAGTTGTTGCTATCAGTCATGGCTTTCTATATCAGCGTGTTGCATAAACAAACTCCAAAAAGAGGGGGAAGAGGAGGAGGCGCCTATGAAAACTGGTACAAGGACTCATAGCACCCCCAGCTCTCTGTTGCTATTTAGCATAGTCAGTGGGGTGTAAGAACAGTACAGGAAGTGTGAATTCGGCATATGTATTGGCACTCCCTGCCCGGTTCCCTGGTGGTAGAGACAGAGACGAGGAGGGAGGGAAGGAATGGGATGAGAGCGCATGTGATCGGGAGCCAACCCAATTAGAGGAGTATTCTTGGCGTGGCAATGGAGAGAGAAGAGGCCAGTTAGGCATGGAGGCAGAGGGACAGAAATAGCTTAGCAGAGAGTCATGGTGGGCATACCTTTGCCTCTATGGGTGTCAATGCAATCAGCTGAGACTGCACCGGCTCCTGTCTTCCATTTAATGTAGACAGACATGCCAGGCTCTCAGACCTATATTTAGAGTCATATTGTATGTAATGGTAAGGGTGGGTATCAGTAACCCTGGTTACTTTACAAATATTGGAGGTGCTTCTATTGAAATGAACAGAGCTGTGTGTGTTACTTACAACTACTTTTTATTAAATACACATAAATAGGCTAATGTTCTTAATATCCTTAATGTCACCCTGTTCTAACCTGCAAAACTCAGCAAATTAAATAAATTGTTCCACATTTTGGGAAATAAACTTTCTTGTCAAGAGTTAAATGACAAAATTGATAAGACTCTCGGGTCTGTCAGTTCAATATGATGCTTTACCGCCAGCAGCCAGTTGGCTTAGCTTAGCATAAAGACTGGAAAGATGGAGGAAAGCTACCCTGGGTCTGTCCGAATGGTAGAAAAATAACTGACTTCCTGGACTCTCCATTACCTCCCTGCTAAGAAATAGTCCCGAACATAACCCCCCAATAAAACCTGTCGGTAAGAAAGTGAAGTTGTCAAACTATTCCATTAAGTGACTCACCTGTGCATCATCAGAGAGACCAAATATTGATTAGCTTGTCTTTCTTTAGTCTTTCTAAAATCAAAGTAATGTGAAAACCTCACTGAACAAAAGCACTGTTTTATTGTCTTTTAATACTTGATTTACTTTATTTTTTCTCTATAAAGCACTTTGTCTTTCAAAACTACATAATGTAAATAAAGATACTGCCTAACCTAACTTGATGACTAGATTCCAGTGACATGATTGTTGCACAGTGGCAGCACTTTACATTTATCTTATTGAAATTCAACATTTGATGCTGTTTGCATTGAGGTCACACATATATGTAAGGTAATTAGGTTTTATTTAAGGGACAGAAAAATGTTGTTTTATCTGCATAAATGTGCCGCATCCATGTGCTTACTGGTTTGATATGAACTGGATCTGATTTAAATTTGTGGGCCCTTTTACATCTTTTTTAGTACCATTATTTGGTCTGTGGCTCCTGATTAACTTGGTCAGATGACATCTGACGCACCCCTAATGCAAAATAATGTTGCAGCAGTCCTCAAATATATGTTTTAATCCAATTTAACCAAACAATTTTCATTATGTCAACTCATCTCCAAACAGGACAGAAAAGGACAATATAAGAAAGACTAAACATTTATAAGAATTCATGAATGCAATTTCATTCAACGTATTTACAATTTCAATGTCAGTATTATTAATGTAATAATTTAGCCTTTCTCAAAAATACACACTTTCAGAGACAATTTAATAGCTCTCAACAATCATCATCTCTAAATGCTTTTTGGTCTCTTTTGCTTTACAGGCCAAAATATGTGGGTTTAGATCATTTTGTAATTTAATTGCATTACACATTTACTGCTATTTTCTGTAATTGTGCATTTCATTGTTTTAGTACCATTTACCCTACATTCAATCAACACATACCTGTTAAGGTCTGGAGTTACAAAAGGGACAACTTGACATGTATGTCAGCATGCCAAATATCATGACAGGTGAGCAAAAACACAAAATAATCAATTATGATGCTGATTATAATTTTGCTGTAAGGAATTAGTATGCAATCTTTTTTCCATATACTCTGTTCATAACCACACATTTATACACTGTGTTTTTCTATCTGTCTTCATCTTTTGCCAGATAGATGGTGATTCGACTGCAGCATTTTGCAATACTGGTGAAGACAGGGCTGATGAGAATGTTCAGTATACTGCCCCACACAGTCTGGACCCAGTGCATGTTGATAAGAAGGAGCTGCACACAAGGCATGATCAACCTGGAGAGATACAGGGAAGTGGACAAAACATGAGCTCATCTCATCGATAAAAATAGAAATCTTCCATACCCCTAAAAAAGGACAGTAAATAGTCCTACCAGATGTGAAGGCAGCTGAGCACAGCAAAGAGGAGCCCTGCTACCAGTGAGACCGGCACAGCCAGGAGAAGGGATATGAAGCGGTAGCACCATAGTCTGGACACCTCAAACAGGGCGTGACTCCACAGCCACACTTTATCAAAGCTCCTCACCGAGGGAGGCTCTGCAATCACATCCTCAAACGTGACCTCAAGACACACACAGAGACACTGTAAGTGATTTCTAAGGACAGTTTCCCAGAGAATGTGAAATATAATACTGAGAACTGGGGTCTTGGATTTGTTGTAGGCCTGGAAGCAAAATCTTGACATGCAGAATGAGGATGATACACACAAATGTACTGAACTGAGCTGTTTTTAATGGCAAACAATGTCAGGTTTAATTATTTATACGTTGCAGTTTATCTTATAGGCAGAAAATAGAATTGTGTTTATGATCATGTCCACATGAGGTCAGTATTATGCAGCATATTGGTATTTAACACATTTAAATGGTAGTCTTATATTACCTGAAAACAAGTAATTGGCCTATAAACAAAAAATAAATCAATGTCACACTAAAACCATACGTATATTTCTGCTTTACTTCAGCTTTGCATGATCAGTGTTACATCTGGTTCAGTAGTGACTGGAGGAGAAGTACAGTATGCAGTGCATGTACAGCGGGTTTGTTTATTCTACTGACCTGTCAAGTTCTAGACAGTTTCCCTAGACAGAAATGACATACCTCAGTTTGAGGCCTGTGCTCTGTGTCCTCTGTAAATGTTTTTATGTGTTTTGTGTTGATTAAATCTCTGTGACAGCGCACATTAGTTACCTTAAGACTCTTGTTGATTCTTTTGGGATCCCTGTCGTGAATCAGAGGCCTTGTGTCTCTGTGGGTGGAATTCAGATCTTCAGATTGCACATCCACTTTGACTTCCATGAGTTCCTCTGCTTGTCTCTTGTCTTTTGATCTCTCGTCCTCCATTTCCACTGAGTTGAGCTGTGTCTCAGCTTGGTCGACTGCTGTGGTCATGTAATTGAAAATATGGAGGATGAGCGGGGCGTAGCAGGAGGATGCCTTACCACTCTAACCTCTGCAGACTTGTCACTGACACCCAGGTGGAACATAGTGGACTGCTGACTGCCTTGCTTCTTGTTGAGGAATGCCTTTATTGGCTTTTAAAGGCCTGTCTTAAGAGACATTTTCCATGTGACATACTACATGGAAAGTCTCATTTAGATGTGCATGAGAAATATCCAGTGGCCATCGCTAATAACACAAAATCAGCCATCACTTCCTCCTTAAATATTGATGGATTTATTAGAGTTATTATGATAAGTGGTCAGTATTTTTGGCACTGTCGTGGTTATAAATCATCCTCTTTACATCATGAAAGCAGAGTTGGCACTCTTGGTCCAGTCCATTAAGAACAGACTTCTCTACACTTCAACAGCTTCTTGGCAAGAGCTGTCCTTCTAATCATCCATCCGAGCAGGAACTTTGCTCTTCCACTGACACTGACCCTCAGAAACCCACTGCCCCTCATGTGTTACTGTCGAGTTTGGCACTACACACACAGTAATGCCTGTGTGTGGGGTCTGTGAGCACTCATCATTATCTGGTGCAGTTTGTATAACTTGCTGTTTGTAGGCTGCAGACAGTTTGCAGCAAAACCCAACCCCCTCTAGACTCTTCACACTTCCCTCAGGAACTAAATACTCAACAGAGTATGAAACAACAGGCTATTACACATATATTTCAAACAAACAACTCAATATACTGTAAATACCTCTCAGAATATTGGTGTGGTACTTGTAGCTGATGATACATGCCCACATTCACCTGTAGTGTTAAGATTAAATGTCATGGCATTTGTACTCGAATGCAGGTTAATACAGCCATGTACTTATGGATGTATCAACCTGCTAAGGTACCCGGGGGCAAAAATGAGTTGTGACCCACTGTCGGCCTGCCTGCTCTCACTCTTTGTGTAAATATCCTGTGGCCTTCAAGTGCCCATCAGATACAGAGCACTCAGCAGAGAAAATGCTGAAGTACTACTTGGATGCAGGTCATTAAAGTGAATTTATTAAGTATTATGAATATGATCAACAACATGATCACCAACATCCTAAATAAAGACAACATCAACCAATCTGATAGAGATCTTAAGTTCCATTAATTAATTTTCTTCCCGCCGGGATACAGCATTTAGTTGCTTATTTACACATCCAGCAGATACAAAGCAATATTAGCATTCATTTGGACTTTCTAGCAACCTGATGAATGTAAGTCTAGTATTCACTCCCCTTTTGGCTCTGTTTTCTATACTACCAACTGAATGAAATATCTGACTCTTTAGCTACTAAATACTCCACAGTTTTCACCAGCCTGTTGCTAACTTTGTTTGCGTGCTGTCAGGTACTGAGCAGGTGGGTTTTTAACCCCAAAACAGTTGCCTGCTGTAGCCAAAAGCACTGCTATGAAAGCAGTGAGAGTGAACCAAATTAGTGATGATTCTCTGTGAGTTTGTCGCTGCAAGCTACCCCTTTGACATGTGTGATCTATTAATAAAAATGTTATTAAAAATCTTGAATTTTAATTCAGCTGATAGTTTGCCTTACACAGCCTTGTACCTATGTTTGTGTACATGTAGTCCACTTTCTGTTACACCTCCAGCACTGCATTTATTAAAGACTCTAATTTTCCACTGTATGAGCAAGATGAATAAGTGTATGTTACACTGCATTACCAACTGTTTCCAGGTTTTATATTCTCCTCACCTCTGTAACCAGTGTACTGTTGGTTACTTTTTAGTGCACACGTTATATCATCAAATTGCTTCAGATATTCTGTGACACCAGGAGGGTTTCTTTCTGTCCCTCAGCAGCCACGCAATCATACAGGAAACCGTCTATTCTAACCTATGAATATGAATATCTGCCCCCTTACCCAGTCATCATATGAAACTTCTCATTTTCCTGCATAACTGAAAAATGTATCTGACCATCCACACTGCATATTTCAAATGCCTCTAGTTTATAAATTGTGCCTGATAACACACTGTTTATTGACACTGATGATGGACATTCTATAGAAAGAGAGCAATCTGTCTCCAATATCTTATGTACATTGAGACGTCCTTCACATTTAGAAAAAAGCTTGAGCAGACGCTTGGCAGACACATATCACTGTTTGTTGAAAATTCCTAGAAGCCTTCTTGGCAGAGATGTCCAAACAAAGAGGAAGGAGGGGAATTCACTGGTATATAGCGCACTCTGTCGGCCATGGTTTGTCTTTGTAGTGTTTTAAAAATAGATCTCCATTATCTATCACTGACGATAAAATCAGCTACATTTTCCACTCACCCATGCCAAAATAGCTCATTTTGTCTCAGTGTTTGCAATAATACCAAAATACTTGTTTTCCTAATCACAGCCGCACTGCAGTGGTAGTGGAGGCAGGCAGGGTTTGATTAGCAGTTGATTAATGGTGTGTGTGTGTGTGTGTGTGTGTGTGTGTGTGTGTGTGTGTGTGTGGGAAACCATGGTGATGGAAGAGCCCTCAATATTGTGTTGTGATTGTGTCTGAGGTCTGTAGATGCTCTGCTCAACATATGCTAATTTAGATACATCTGGTACATCTCTGGGTTGGTGTGTAAATAATCATTTTAATCAAAAATGGTTTTCAATAAGATTGTCCTTTGCTGTTACCTGACTAACAACATAAATCTCCTTTGCTCTTCCATGTAACGTTCCTTAATCCACATGTCTCACACAAACCTTCATGACTTTTTATTTTCTTGCCAACTGCAGGAGACATCAAAGTGTGTATGCTGCCATGTATAAATCTGTATTGTCTTACATTAGTTCAGCCTAGATTAAGCCCTTTGACTTTGGAGTGAATGCTCTTTCCTTTGCAGTTATTCAGCCTGATAAGATTACAGTACTTGTGTAACACCACTTTACAGAAAACCATCAGCAATTCCTGGCTCAGTAGGTGATCTTTGCTCTTGCCGTCTTCTCTTATTCATACTGTGTATAAACCATACTCAGGACCTAGACATCTGGAATTAAATTTCCAGACTGAGACATTTTGAACATCAGCAAAACATGAAAAAAGACCCAAAACAAAAAAACAACAACACATTAGATTTGAGAAGAGAGATCAAAATGCTGAGCTCCAGTAGTCACACCTGCTCTTTCAGATGTTTCTGGAACAACATGTCGTTCTAATCAGTTTTAATTAAAATCATGTCTAAATACAGAGTTCTGAGTGTGATGTGATGGATAGTGACTCAGAAGTTGTTCAGACAGGTCATAATAAGACATCCAGACTGTGTACGAATTTGTATTTGTTGATATTTGGTTTCCAGATCCAGATGATGTTTCGTTTCTACTATTTTTATCATTGTGTGCACACAAGGATTCATGAAATTCAAATCTCTGCATGCACATTGTACATTTTTTTCCCCCCATATGTTGTCAGCAGCTGTCATTGTGTTTGGATAAATAATGTAAATGTGCCCTGCTGGTCTCATTACTGAATGGCTAGACACTTGTGAGGAGAAAATAACTGAGAGGAGACAAAGAAAAGAAACAGACAGAAATATATATCAATCAGGATGTTATCCATAAAAGTCTCCCAGCATGTTTCTGTGCTGTGTGTGTTTATGCAGCACCCACATCCACCTGGTGAGAGAGCTAATGCAGTGTGCGCCTAAATGTATTAAATATACAACCACAGTTATGTAAGAGTGTGTATACTCCAGTTAGTGATGCTATACAGCAAAATGGTGTTTGCCATTATTTGCTTTGACCACACTGTTCTTCTTTATCTGTCGTTTCTGCTGTTTGTGAAAGACTAATACAAACAGCAAAGGCCATAAAATAGCACTTTGTTACCACTCTTAGAGCATTATCAATGGCCAGTAATGATTTCCATTGTAAATTCACTATCTCTACCTCACCGTACCCATGTCACTACTATAGCAGTCCATATTCGCAGGGAGTTGTGCCTTACCCTCAGGCTCTATCCACATGTTAACGAGCCTCCATCTGAACTTATAGGCTGTGTGTGTGTGTGTGTGTGTGTGTGTGTGTGTGTGTGTGTGTGTGTGTGTGCGTGTGTCAGTCGGCATGAACCAGAATTAGTGGACTCCAATCAGGATCTAAAGCTAAAGCATACATCCAGCCGAAAGGTCCTCGTTGCTATGTGAGTCACAGGCTCACTCAATTTCCATGACGACAGATGACATTCACTGACGATCAGCATATCTGTTGCACACAGGAACTCCAAGGTATTGTCCCTCAGATTCATTAGAGCTCCTCACACCGCAGAGGCCACTGTGTTTGTGCTCTGAAAGGATAATTTGGTGATATGTGGGACTCACTCCATGCTGCTGTTTATCAAGTTATTCCTTACATTTACATCATCAAATACTTTACAAAGTTCAAAAGAGTCAGTCACTGATATACATTTTGTTATTGACATGAAAAAATGACAGTGGAACCAACCCATATTCATATGGTATATAAATGGTTCCTTATTAAATACAATATTACATTTAAACATCCATTCAATCATGTCCTTGTTATTGTAATTACACTCGAGACTTTTTACATTTATAAACATAATAAAACATTTCTACAAACATCATTAAAAGCAGGTCAACTGTAATATCGTAAGGAAAGTATGCACATTTTTTTTTCTGTATTTCACGTTACAGTACAGCCCCTTGACCTAAAATGAAAAGGCCTACCTGAATTAGACAATAAAAGGCACTGGGTATTGAATATGTACTTAAAAGATAGGCACACATTTTTCAAGCTCACCCTAAAACAATACAAACATGTCCTTAAGTAAATTAGAAGGATTATTGGTTGCTGTAATTGTTCCTCTTGTCATACTGGCCACAAAGAGATACCTTTGTGTCAGGAGACAAAATCCACTGTTATTGTTTCCTGCAAAGAAAAAAAATCCTTAAATTCAGCTGAAGATAATACAAGGCTGAGTTATCCAAATCAGGTGGGGATTTTTGCATTGGACAATGACTGTAGAATTTGTACCCCATCACTGACATTGAATTTTCTTTAAATTATTTTTCTTGTTGCCTGAACAGCAGGAATAATTACAGCAGTCAATGATTGTTTCTGTGTATATATGGACAGTCAGTATTGTTTTACGGTATACAGTAAAATGTGAGTGTATCCCTTAAAAAGAAATGGTCCACAAACTGTCATGGCCCATATATTAGCACTGTAGTCCAAAACTCATGTTGGTCAAGGTCTAAGCATGCTCCTCGGGTATTTGTCCAGGGATCTTTATCCCCTGGTCTGTAGTGTTTCTGGGATGGGAGTTAGCACATCCGGATAGGGTTTCAGCTGTGCTACTGGTTCTCTGGATGAACTGGAGGAAGTTCTCCTGGAGGGAACCCTCATGGCTGGATGCCCCAAACTCCGCCGGCTGGGTTAAGCAGCAGCGTCTAAACTTTACTAACTCTTCTCTGATTTGCCTGTTCAACAGGCCGTAGAAGAACGGATTAACTGCAAAGGAGGAGTAGGCCAGCCAGGTAACTGCCTCCTCTAAGTCCCCAGGGCTCTGCATGGAGCCAGTCAGCGACATTTGCAGGTGAAAGATGAAGAAGGGCAACCAGCAAACCAAGAACTGACCCACAATGAACACCAAAGTAAGGGCAGCCTTGCCTCCACTGAAGGCCCTCTCTGGAGAAAGTCTCTGGGGCAGAGTACGGGTGGTGGTGATCATGGTGGTCTGGCTGTTGATGGAATCTGAGCGATCTTTAGCAGGGCTTGCATTAGCCCACGTTGGCACAGCAGGGACCTGCTGCAGGGCTGCAGAACGAGCTACCTTATACACGGCACAGTAAACAGCAAAGATAACCACCGCAGGAACCAGGAAACAGACCACAGTGAAGAGCACAGCAAACACACTTCTTAGACGACTGTGGCTCGCGTGGAGAGAGCAGTGAGCTGCAGCTATTGAGCTCTGATGTCCATAAGCTGGCCATCCAAACAGCGTGACCAAAGCTAACAGGACTGACTTCACCCAAATTAGGACCATGACAACAATAGCAAGGTTGATGGTCATCTTGACCTCATAACGCATGGGGTGTACGATATAGAAGTAACGCTCCACACTGATGGCTGTGATGGTTAGAATGGACAGACAGATGAGGAAAACATTGAGAAAGATGTAAACCTGACACTCCAGAACAGTAAACACCACAGTGCCAAAGAACGGTGAGCTGGATATGATACCCAAAGGCATGAGGAGGATGGCACACAGTAGGTCCACTGCACAAAGGTGACACACAAAAGCAAACCTCTTCAGGTGAGGAGCACGGGCAATGGCCACCATCACACCAGTGTTGGCCAACAAAGCAATGAGGTTAAGCGTCACCATGCAGAACAACCCAAAAAGGTCTTTGATCTGTGACTGGGAGCTCGTGACGACGCCCACAGCGGCAGGAACCGTAGGATTGGGCTCCCATAGGGCAGTGGTGAGATTGGTCACTGGGTGATTTGGAACAGAAGCTATCATGGGACCAGTCTTGTCGGCCATTATTCATTTACAACTTCCTCCATTTGGATTTCAGGTGTCTTCATATGTGGATATCCTGTGCTGAGAAGACATAAAAAACAGTTATTTCCAAATATAAATAATACCCATATAAAGCATGTTCAGACCATGGACCATCCATCCTTCTGTATATATGTTTTCCCCTCTACCCATATAACATGTAGGAATAACAATGGGAATACTGATTCAGGATGAGGTTTGATTATTTAACATCATGTTAACAATTTTGCTGAGCATTCATCTCTAATTTTGAAACATGAAACACTTACATGTTTCAAGTGTAAACAGATACAATTTAAATTGGAAATTGTAAAATACAGAAATGGCAGATTCTTCAGTTCAGTCTAGACCTGCTCTATTTGAAAAGTGTCCTGAGACAACCTCTGTTATGAATTGGCGCTATACAAATAAAATTGAATTGAATTTATGCAAAATCAGTATTAGCTCCGTTGAGGGCAATTCCACACAGCTTTTAAAGATAAGAGTTATGAGGACAATAGGCAGAGAGCTGTTTGCAGTGATCTTAATTAAGGTTTTCCAGAATGCCTTTGTTTTAGGTCCAACTTGAGTCTATTATATATTTACATATCTATATTTATTGGTTTAACATTACATCTGTTGATCCTCTTTCACTCTCAAATGCCTTTGACTCTTTACTTTTATCTCAGAAATGAGAATCTGTGAAAATGGATTAACAAACTCACGTGATATACTAGACTATCATATACAACCAAAGGACAGAGTTCATGAGTAAACAAAAGCTAATGTATATGTGAGGTTTTGTTGTTATGATATTATAAATCCATTAATATAGGAGAATGTAAGTCTGTCCTTTCTGTCCGACTGTCAATTGCTAACAAGAAAAAAGGCAATCAAAACTTTCGCATGCTCTGTCTTTAAAAGCTATGAACATGCTGTGTATGCAGTTCTAAAGACTTTTACTCCTTTGCTTTGGAATACACGGTATATGTGTATTGGTATAGTTAAATCAATTTATATTTAGTTTTTGTCTATTTAGACACGTGATTTGGAAAAGTATAAGTACGTCACATTTATTCTATCTGCAGTATGCACATGTGTGCTGATAGTAAATCTATGAAAAATATGTTTAAATACCAATACCTCATTGTGTGGTAAAACATTCTGATTTCTTCAAAGGAAATTTCCATCTAGATTTTTATCACCAAAAATAAAAACACATATAGCACTTACTTACCCATGATCCACTCTCCGTTTGTGTGGTTCAGTCAGTTCAGACCAAACAGGTTAACCCAGCGTCTGACTTGAAGAAGCTCCTGTTGAAATCCCACATATGTTTTTTGTGACCAAAAAAAGAGGAAGCCCAGCTGTACTTTTTCAAAAGGTAAAATAGTCAGTCCTGAAACTGAAAATCCATGTAATGAAATTGAGTTAACTCAACACACTGTCTGTGGTTTGGTTCTTCTGTAAAGAGGCTCCAGAGGTCCAGACTTATCGCACATGTATATCTCCAATTAAAGAAGTGCTGATCACCGATTCCATGATGCTATAAGATGGTGAATTATGCTTCCTCTCTCTCCTTTAGTAACACTCTCATTCCTGTCCTATTCTGTGTATGGCAGTGACTGTCACACATTGTATTGTGTAGTGTTTTTTTTTTTTTTTTTGCTTTCAAATAGACACACACTCCACTGTCCCACTTCCAGAGGCCAGACTTCCCTGGGTCCTAATTTCCACCGGTTTAAGGGGGAAAGTCATGTTTTTTATTTAAATCAGAGACTACTGTAACATTACTAGAGAATGTAACTGCTCCACTGATAATAAATAAGGGATTTACTTCTGAAGTGACAAAAATAAAATGCACTACAACAACATGCATCTCTATAGAGGTGGGTTTCTTTACAGTCCAATCACATGTATTCCATAGTAGTGGTTCACTAAAATTTCTATAGTGATCGCAAAAAGTCTGTCTTCATATGACTACATCCCAAGTACTGTACCGGCATATTTTTCCTTATTAAATTTGTCTCAGAGTAGAGGTATAATACAAGGCAACAGTACACATTTCATCCATCCCAAAAAGTCTTCATTTAGGTTAAATTAACCAGTATGCCTGGTCTGTAACTGTAGCAGCCTTCTTGAGCTAATCGTGCAAGATTAACTTAATCCTGTCTATATTGATAACATTTTACAATAAAATTTGAAATCAGAATAATTAAAAATAACAGGCACCAAATAAAGGGTGCACATTTATTTATATATGTCTATACTTTTTTTTGTCATTATTATTTTTTAGTGGGTGTTTTGCTGTGTTTTTTTAATGTATTGATGCCATTGTGTTTCCTGTTTTCCTTTTCTTTGCAATTTAACTTGGTTACATATCACAATGTAGACTCACATTGTAAAAAATTACAAGCAAAATATATACATAATTTTCTCTGGGAGACCTTCAAACAGACATTTCTCTTTTTTTTTTTTTGAAGAGCCAGAGAACAGAGAACGCTAGAAAGATATTGTCATGTATTGTATTTGCATTTTAATGCAAATACATGTGCTCCAAGAACCAGAAATCATTTTCAGTGTTATAAAATAAGATTAGCTTGTATAAGACAAATTTGTAATTACAGGACTATCTCTCAAAGACTATCCATGTTATTTAATTTGTTCTCAATGTATTACCAACGTACAAACAAAGTCCAGCATACTGAAAATGTCTTGCATCAAAAACATTATTAGTTATCAATATCAAACATATCAGCTCTAAGACTGGAAAACACCTAAAATAACAAGTATGCAAGTAAGTCTTAAAGCTCAAATTCCAAAAAGGAAAAACATTGCAACATATTTGAGGAGAACTTCAGTTTATTAACTAATCACTGAATCAAGTGATGTCTTAGTGCAAAAATGTTAAGGCAATTGCATAACAAAGAGAGTTGCTCATTACTGACACCATGTGGTGATATATGTAATGATGCTAGAAGACCTATTAGAAGACCTACTAGGCTATTCATGACGTACATGTTACATTACTTTGCATTGCAGATGCACTTTCAGAGTATTTCTTAACAGCTGAATTAGATTTGTACCAGTGCTTGAACATCAGCCACAAATTGCACTTTATCCATCTGCCTGTAAACCTATCTCTGCATACTGTATATTTTTTTACTTCTGGTCTACCACATAACATGATTAAAAATTACAATATAACTGCAAAAGCATGCGGCAAATTACTCCTACATATCAGCAACATTTTCTCTCTGAGCGACAGGTTACTCAAACCACAACTGAGATACGAAATAGAAAACAAGGGGAAGCATGTGACTTAAAAAGAAAACTGTGCAAATAGCTTGAGGTCTGTTAAATATTTAAAAATTACAATCTAGTAAGAAGTGAAAAAGAGATTTTTTTTCATTGTAGTGGGAAAAGTAAATACAGTATTTGTTATAACGGATAAGTCTGGTCTATCACACTCAAGCCACTTTTACAGTGTGCAAAATATAAGGCACAAGGAAGTATGAGTTTTTTATGCATCATGGAACAAAGACAATAACCATATGGTTATGAGAGAAGAGCATAGCCAAGCTTATTAGGAAGCACCTTATACAGTATTGAGGGAATGAGGAACCTTTAAAAGACCTGCTTCTTTCCTTGAGTTGAATTAGTGCACCGTGTTCACATGTTCAGCTCCAGCAGGTAGCGAAGGCGACACTGGTTCTCTCTGTAGATGAGATATTCACTGTTGCTGAAGTGGCTATCTGTGAACTGGGCCTGTTTTATGGCCTTACCCTGAGGCACAGCAACCGTCTTGCCCTCCAGGGTGATGAAGACGTCCTTGGATGGATCTGAAAGCACAAGTTAACAGCTTTATTAAGCAAAAATGCAACATGATATCATAGTAGTTCTCAAAAGCTTTCATTTTTAGCAATATTGTGGAAATGAGTAACAGAATGAGTACAGTAGGATTTTTATTGAACATGATCTGGAACATAAACAGTGTTTCATGTTTCTTCTTGAGTTGCTGTTTAAAAAATGCAACTCTAACTTTGTGTTTTTAGACACAAAAAGCATTTTGCTCTCTCAATATACTGGTTTATTTTACCATATAAATAAAACTGAGGAAGTATTGTACCTGGTTCGACGCTTCCTCGTGCCACCACACTATCATATCCTGCGGGAGCCTTTCTCAAAGAAGAGTCATCTTTGGTGATGGTCTTTTCTTTGCCGAGGGCCACCTCACTCAGAAACATCACTCCAGTGTTTTTAGAGGTACGCACTACAAGTCCATGGCAGAAAAATTTGATTTTCAAACACCTTATTATTCTTATGATTGAAGTGTTATTATTATTATCTCATTCAATCCGTCTTTTCATACAGCCTCACCGTAAGCTGCAGATTTGCAGTTCTCAGATGCAAAATAGATACCGCGACCAACGCGGCCTCCTGAATGGGGCATTATCCTTAGACCACTCTTCAGGATGGCTGCCACCACCGCTATGTTTGTACCATGCCAAAGCAGACGCCGGTTCTCCAGATTGTCATTCTCACTAAACCGCTCTCCCTGCAATGTGCATTGTATGTGTTAGGTCACCAGACTTCAGCCTTCTGTATCACATGAAACAAGACTGACTGTAGTTCCTACCTCTTTCTCTCGATCAACTTCCCAAACATTGACAATTTTCGGCTTACGATAGGCACCTGAAGTCACTGTCAGGTATTTTTCTATCATCTTTAAAAGCAAAAAAAAAAAAAAAGTTAATATTGGTGGACAGGAGGACAACATGAATGAAAGATGATTTGATATCAGTCATGACAAGTACAAGTGCTACTGAACGTTATTATTGCTTATGACACAGTACCTTGAATATATCGGAACCCTTGTCCATTAGATCAAGCCTGCACTTAAGAGAATTGTAGTCCTGGTCTAGAGGATGAGGAACTGTCTCTATCATCTCTTCCTGAGCCTTCTCAGTCTCTGACTTCAGAGTCTGGGCAAGCTCGATGTCAGCCAGCACCTTTACAGAGCATGTGAAAGGAGAAAGACTTTAGGAAAACATACAAAGACAGCTCATTCCAACATATAATCTAAAAAACAAATCCCACCATAAGCATCTCTTTCTTTTGCTCCACGATCTCTTTGGTATTGATGGTTGGCGGTCTGTTCCGGCCAAAGTTGTGTGGGACTGTGGTGAAGAACTTTGAGGAAAGTTCTTCCAGAGACTTGCCTGCTTTTTTTTTTTGGTTCATGGCTGCCTCAATCTCCTCCAGCACTTCAAAGCCCTTTGCAATCTGCATCTTACTGAGTTTGCCCAAAGGCATCTTCTTGATGTCTGTATAACATTAACACACACAAACATATACATACACACATAAAAAAAACACACCCAACCCAACTGTTTTTGCTAAGAAGAGGCACACTGTATTTTGCACATTTTATGGTGCAAATTGTTACTTCAATTACTTCCAAAAGTTAGAAAGAAACATGGAAAAACAATGATCTTCTTAGCAAAGCCCAAGACACTTATCAGACACGGTATGTTCAAAATTAGATAAAGTGCTGTGTAAATGCAGACTTCACCCTTTGGTCAATCATTTACATGTCAAATTCTGCACTCTTTGATGTCCTAAGGTTCCTACATTTGTATGGAAATTGGCTTCCCATTTAGAGCAACAGGCACTATTTCAACAGGTATGTGACAGAGCAGGTACTTATGCACACTGAACTTCTGTAGGCTCCACGAACCTGTTTGTATTAAAGAGTTGGTAAACTGAGACACACCCACCTAAGTTCATGCATTCCATCGCCTCCTTGAACATGTCATTGCTGAAGATGAGCTTGATGAGGCTCTCTGTAGCCTCATCGAGGGTGCAGGGTAGGACATTTTTAGACATTCTGACAGTTTTTCCATCAACACTATCCACCTGTAAGTACAGCCAGTCAGATTTCATTTAGGCTTATATGGAATTGTAAAGATTTTAAATATTTGGAACACCTCCGACAAGTTAATTATTGAAGTCTGCTTCTAGGTTTCATACCTTGACCTCTGCATCCTGGTCTCCATCCACTTCGATCAGGGTATACTTCCCAGGGTGAGACACAAAATTAGACCGATCGCACCAGTTGTTCTTTGTCTTGTCCTTGAACTTTTTCTCAAAGTCCTTGACAGCTTTCTCAGGCTTATCAAACTCGTTAAGTTTGCACTGTCCCGTTTCCCCCTGAATTTAGATCAAAGATGAGGCAATCGGAGGCAATATGCTTTATATAACAAAATGAACACACTAACATGCGCTGTACCAGCTGTCAATAGCCCTGATTATTACCACAGTGTTGTAAACATCAACAGTTATACTAATGGTACATTGATTAAAATAATTAATATATTCATTAGCAAATACTATTACAGTCAACACACTTCTATTCACATAACATGTGCAGTAAAAATCTGATTGATCTAATTAAGGATCCGCTCAAGACATTAGTTTCAATAGGCCCTTCGGAGCACAGAAAGAGCACATATACAATAAAACATCAGGAAAATGTGACTCCAATAGATGTTTCCAAGTGCAGTAGTGGCTAATATTTAAAGAAATGTAAGAGATTTATGAGCAAAGCGTAATAAAGTACAGTTAGTACGACTGTGTTGCGGGACAAACTTACCACTCTGCCCCATCTGTTCCATGTGTAGTAATCTTTGCCTGCTGCAATAACTTGAATGACATAAAACTTATTGTTGTTATGGCCGATGTTTGTTTGATTGAGCATGCAGTCATAGTCTTCATATATCTGGTGGAGACAACACAGAACATTTTTAACAATGTATTTAGAGAAAAGTGCATAAAATTCAGGTATTTGCACTGTTGCTCTCTCTTACCTCTCCAGTGTCATACAGTTCGCACTGCTCATCCACCTTCCTCTTGCCTTTCACCTGTGGCCCTGCAGCCAGAAGGGCCTCTTTTGCAGAGGTGAAGGCATCCTTGATCTTTGGTGTCTCCTGCTTTGCTTTCTTGCCACCTGCCTTGGCAGCGGAGGCAGCTCTTCTCTTTGGTGGCATGATCCTGGCTGAAAAACCCTGCACAGAAACTTGCCACATTCGTGATCTGATCTGGGCAAGCTGCCTGGACAAGCTCAGACATGCCTACACTAACCAGCTAATCCTCTGTATGCACCAAAACAAATCAATGAAGCCCCCATGCATGTACTTACTGAGTAATAACCAGATACTATATAGATACAGATGTATACAACCATAACTAACAGCAATTCACTACTACCACTGGGTTGCTACTACACAACAGTAGTGTTGATGTGTTCTGATCGAGGCCGCCGGAGAGCCTCACTGCTTTTATTTTTATTCCGAAGACGACCTGAATCTTCCTCAGCTGGGAACTCACCTTTTAACTTTAAATGGTGTCAGTCGGGCTGGGAGACAGGAGGGCAGACGGACGGACGGACAGACAGAGTGTCGATGCGCTGCACAGTGATTTTCGGGAAGTTTACCTTCACTTTAATACAGTCATAGAGGAAGAGGCGGAGCTCCACTGTATTTTCCCTGCTTGCTGCTGTCGGGGTGGAGACCGGGGACCGGCAGAGCTAACGTTAACTAACGGCGGTACCGCCACCCAGCGTATCCCGATGTGTTACTGCCCCTTCATACAGCTGCTGTTTGATTAATATTAACCGGGTTAAAGACGGGAAATACCATCTTGTTCAAGGTTAACGTCCACTGTTATCTTCTGTTAACATATGGAGACACTATAGTTTCACTGTTGGTACGCATATTTGTTACACACATGTAGTTATAATATTACTGTGTTAAATTCACACATATTACTAAAGTTAAGTTAACATGTTAGAGACAAGTTCATAGTTCAATATACTTTGATTTAATAAGTGGTTCTCAACCTGGGGTATTTTCATTTCATTATAATTTAATTGACTAGGAGTTATCTATGGAAGCCCATTCCTGCCAATGTGATAGGAAAAAAAGATTTTGTAAGTCATTATAATGAGAAACTCTATCAAAATATTGATATTAGTATCTTAATATTTTGACTTAGTATCTTAATAATTTGTCTTAGTATCTCAAAAATAATGAGAAACGTTCTCAATGTTTTGAATTAATATCTCAATATTTGACTTAGTGTCTCAAAATAATCAGAAAGTTTCTAATTTTGAGATACTAAGTCATTATTTTATATTTAACGTTTCTCATTATAATGACTAACACAATCCTTTTTGCCCAGTGAGACGATGTATGAGAATGTAAATTCTGTTTTCACACTTTACTGTAAACTGCCGATTAGACTGTGAACACTGAGACTTGATGAGGCCTGATGTCTATCAATTTGGGGGTCCTTGACTCCAGAAGGGTTGAGAAGCTTCATCTTGCCAGTAAAATATAACTAACAATTACGGTCAAGTTTTTAAAAACGTATTCTTCAGCTTCATTTGTTGTGAAATTTAACATAAAAGGGGAAGAGGTTTTTGAGTCTGGAGTATATTTAGTCCCAAAAGAAAGAAGAAAGAAAAGAAATGTCATCCACATTTTCTCTTTTCCTTTCCATTTTCACATTCACTGTTAATTTAGGTATAAAATGAGTTCCCTTTATAGTACATCTTCTCTAATAATTAATGTGCAGCTTTTGTCTGCTAAATTCACAAAAAACATACATCAGAGGACTCCTCTGATATATGATGTATAGTATTGCACAGCTGGGTAGTGTGTGTGTTTAGAAATTAAATTAATTTTATAATAAGGTTGTCCTGAAGAATCAACTTGATAATGACTATTAAAATGTGTACACATTTTAGTAAATGTTATCATGCATGGTGTTGTTGGCAACAATGCTGATTGCAGTCTGCTGTGTTTAATCATGACACTGCACTCTCCCTTTTAGGAAATGATAATTATATAACATTTACACTGTGGATTTGTCTGATGCAGATGACTCTCAACAAATAAGTTCACCATGACTGCTGTTATCAACTCTGTTATACAATCAGGTAATACTGTAAAATAATAAATTATTTCCTAATTGTGCATCTAAATATTTAGCTTAACAGTGCTTTTTCTTTGAACGTTACACACAGGTTTAGTTTTCCTTTCTTGTTCTTACAGCAAGGAGTTGTTGCAGTACATGCTGTACCTGGTTTATATATCCACAGTAATTTGATGATGGCTACTAAGCAGATCTAATAAAGCAAGACAGCACTCTGATTATCTGTCCACTTCCTCCATATGCAAATACTCTGTTTACTGCAAGCCCGAGGGCTGCCTGCATGTTGCAGTGTGCGAGATTAGATCAAACAACGCGGACGCAAGATGGCAGTGTTAAATCACAGATACTGTATGGGTCTATTTTCCAAAGTATCTGCCTCATGTACACAGAGGTACTGACTGCTGTGTGTATTCGTAGGACAGCTTTGGTGGATTTTATCCCATATCAGCAGATGATGATGTTTGTGCTGGTAATTTTCATGTAGATACTGTTTGGTCTTGGCAGATGGTATCTATTGAAGCTGATAAATAGACAGCTCAGATTTCAAATCCAGACTGAGCTCAAATTTCCAATGTACTAACATCATCATATATTTTAAATAATGAAGAACTTGGATCTGAATTGCAGTTCCTCAACAAATTAATACATGGATTTCTTTTAGGTCTGTGGCTCAGGAGGTAGAGGAGGATGCACGTTCATCACACGGTTGATGGTTTGATCCCTAACCCCATCTGTCCACAAGTATCGTTGAGGAAGACTCTGAGCCGATGTATGGCTGCTCTATCAACATCAACATCATGACGTGCAAAGTTCTTTGTCCAAGACGGTTGAAAAACACTTTTATGTGCAGTTCATTTAGCATATTATAGATATTTATCTTTTAAGGCACGGGTGTAAATGACATGTAACAATGTGGAATGACAGCAGGCAGCATGCAAAGAAATAGACTATAAGTCATCTTGGTATTAATAAAAAACACATTTTATTTACATAAATTACAAGAAAGCACAAACTGGTTCACCAAAATCTACATTAAAAACGTCTTGTATATATTACATTTAACAGATTTACTATAATTTACTCCATTGTTGCAAGTAGAATCTTCAATAAAAACAAGGGCTATCGGCATCTCATTTAAAATCGCTACGAGTCAAAGAACAAAATAAAATTATTGGGACATTGTACTCACAGCACTTTGAGGACAACAAAGTCAGGACGATCTTCTGTGTTACCTCTTTAATATCTGAGACACCTGATTCAGGACTAGTGATTATATAACTGTTTACAATGCTTGGCAAAGGAACTGAGCTAATCTTCACAAGGAGGACGTTGTGGAGTCCACCACCTCTCGCCCGTTACACACTGTTGGAACAACATTGGAGGCTGATGCTGCAAAACATAAAAACAATAACTCTAAGTTCTTTTGTACTACACAAACAATACAGATAGAGTGTGTTACATATACCACATGCCCCCCGCCGCCATTCCTTTTTCACTGAGCTACAGTGCTGTAAACAGCCAGGATGTTCTTACAAATGAATTAGCAGCATGCTAATCAAGTAATGAAATCTGGTGATTTGCACTGCAGTTATGTGTTATTATCACATTTTAAATTAATTATCCAGAAACAGTGGGTGCCCCCTGTCCTCAAATTACTGATTTCTAGACAGGACAGAAATGTTCTGTATTTTGTTTGGTTTTAACTGTTAGTTTAATGGAACAAAAGAACCTTTGAGAAACTGTTAAAGCTTTTTGCCTTGCCTGACCTGAACAGCCAATATTAATGGTGTGACAGAAAGGTGGCCTCATATAATGATAAAGCAATTATGAATAATGTAATAACGTCACATTTCAGTACAGTTATTATCAGTAATAATACCTGGAATATACTGTTTTTCCTACTGAGCTTAGCAAACGCCACCGTGATGTTGTTGTATATCAGGTGGTACCTTGAGAGAAACTGGAGCCTGGGCCGGTGGTGACGCTGAAGCGGGTGGTGGCCACTCTGAGAGTGCTGACATTCTTCTGCGGCTGGAACAGGATGATGTGGACCTTGGGAGCAAAGAGGCAGCCTAACACCACCGACCCACTCAAACTGACAGAGATGCACATGGTGGTGGTCTGAACCTGGAGGAGGAGAGAGAGGTGAGAAATTCACGCTCTAAAAACAAAACCAGAGACTACAAATAGGTTGTCTGGCATCAAGCTTTTACTGTATATATCACAGATATTACTCAGTGATACCTTGAGTTTACTTGTATGCAACAGAAAAAGTGAACTCCCGTTTCTAGATAAATGTCAAGAGAATACACCCCATCGTAAGTGCCAATCTTAATTTCACATCAGTTCCAGTATTAATGTTCACACACAGCCCCAAGCCCCGGTGCGAATGTTGATACTTTCAGTGACATTTCTTTGATATTAAAACATGTTTATTCAAATATTTGCTGATCCATATAGTTGATATGCCTCTGAGGGGAAGGCTAAAAACAACCAGAAAGTGGGTAATGAGTAAGAGATTCAGAAGTCAAAAAAGAAATGCTAAAGACATCTTTTATAATCCAGAATCAAAGCCAGGTGCAACGGAGGAGAAAAGAGGATGCTATCAACTGGGAATGCTAAAGAGAGGTGTTAAGAGATCTGTTTATTTGCTTGTCAATCAACTGCTTAACCCTCGCTCCTTTTCCCCCTCACCCTGCCCACATCTTGCTATGTATGTGTCATCGGTCTGTTCCTTCATTTCCAATCTCCTCGCAGCTTTCTTTTCGTTTTTTTTCCCTGGATAACAGGAAACAGCCAAGCGTCGTGTGGTGTGTGGCAGGTGCATCCCATTTTCACAAGACACAGCAGGTGTCTGTCATCACCCTGAATGCTAATGTTGGTATTAAAATAATGTGGGCTCCAAGTATTGCACTGTGCACACACTGTTCTGCAACAAAGATAACAAACAAAGATAACATGAAAATAGCAAATAAACAACATTCATTAGTTTAGACAGACTGATACAAAATCCGTTTTTTATTTATTTTAATCCTCTTACTTAAATGTTTAATTACTAATTACAGTATTCATCAATTGATAATCAATTATATTAAGATAGGAACTAATTGATAAAATAACAGACAGTTTGCAACATAGTGGTAACTGACTAAAAGTCATAGTGTAATGAATCACTGAATTTATCTCTGTATTTTGAGATGTATTGCAGGTTGCCACGTGCAATGAATTCAACATTAAGATTCACCTCATGCCACCTGTGAAATACAGTACACATACTGAGCTCAGGTCTTGGGTTGAGATGTAAATTTGCAAAAAAAAAAAAACATACTAACATACAAAAGGCAAGGTGACCGATTATACATAATAATCTCAGCTATAATGAAGTGCACAGAGGCTAAATTTACTTCAGAAATAGTTTTGAATAAAACCGAGGACAGTACTGCATAGGAATGACCTGTTAAGTGGTTTTAATAATTCACAAGATGTTGCTTTGGAAGAGCAGAGGACAAGGAATCTGCCTTTGCAGTAATATATT